CTATATTGTTAAACTATAACCCCACCTATGTCTCTTCCTGTAACTTCCTGGTCTGGAAAAAAAATGCAGGAAGAGAACCCCAATTTGGGGTTAATTTCCTGAGGAAGGGTTGCCTCTCGCTTGAGCATTCCCAAGAGAAGTTAACCACTTCGGGGTCTCTCACTGCTCAGAAGAGATGGGCTTTGAGTAATCCTTTGCATCTCCATCACCCAGGGTAAGTGGGGTGACAAATCCATGGGGGGCGAAGCAACACAAAACAACAATAGGGTGTCTTCCAGAATAGCAGCAAAATTAAAACATTCTCAAATATAACTTGCAAACAGGCCTGCAGATCCAAGTTTGAAAAACATGAATACATGTAAAGCACAGAGGACAGGGACTGATATAAAGCAGGTGCTCAAAAAGTGAAAGTTAACGTTAGTATCATTATCCTTCTTTATGCTATTGGTGTATCAATCAACAGTCTTCTCTATCTAAAATGTTCTTAAATCATTAAAGGGATGGGACAGAGAGGGCAATCTTAACAGGTTGGTTTCCCTTACTGTGCCTGGAAGAGTTTATGATAAACCAAAGTTTACAAATTAAATATATCTTCCCAGAGCAACCCACTTTCATTGACATTACTCTACTCAGAGTGAAGTAATATCTTACCTGGGAAACCAAAACAGAATCTTGGGAAAAAACTCTTTAAAACCCTGTCATTTTAGTAAGTAACCAAAAAATCCATTATGGTATTTGCTTTCATGTTTATTTGATTATCAATAAACCTCTAAAATATAATCAAAACAAGGGCAATAAAATAATGTTGGTTTTCAAAATCAATGAGATGTGCAAGCAATTTAGATAGAGTCTGGAGAGCAATATACAATCATTAACTTCAAGTTATGAATAATGACTGTTTTAAAGAACAGAAACAATGATTTGATGTAAATGATTCATCACAGCACAAGATTAGGGGTATTGTTGTGGTGAGATGGCATTTCAGTAAACTCTACTTTAGATTCTGCTTTTTCTTTCTCCAAAATGACATGCGTGTTCCTGATTTTGTGCATGCAAACATTTGTACGCATATATGTTCAAGTACACACCTATCTGCTAAAGCCTTGCTTCATAAAATGTGGACTGTGTATTAGGAACATTGTAATCACCCGAGAGTTTATGAGAAATGCTTGGACACAGACATGCATGGAGGGAAGATATCTGCTAAAGCCTTGCTTCATAAAATGTGGACTGTGTATTAGGAACATTGTAATCACCCGACAGTTTATGAGAAATGCTTGGACACAGACATGCATGGAGGGAAGATGATGTAAGGACACACAGGGAGAAAAGAGCCATGTGAGGACAGAGAGAGGGACTGGAGTTTTGCAGATGCAAGACATCCTTGGGGCTACCAGAAGCTGGAAGAAGGAAGGAAGCATCCACCCTTGGAGGCTTCAGAGGGAGCACAGCCCTGCTGACACTTTGATTTCAGACTTCCAACCTCCAGAACTTTGGGAGAATAAATTTCTGCTGTTTAAGTCACCCAGTGTGTGGCTCTTTGTTATAGCAGCCCTAGGAGACTCATACACTTGTAGCCAAAAAGCACCATAACTAAAACAGGAAGTAAAAACTTCTGTTTCTCATGGAAAGAAACATCAGAGTTTGCATCCAGGGCCTTAAAAGAAAAAGTAGAAAGGTTAAAAGAGAATATTTTACACTTGTCTTCTCATGTCCCTCTACGGTGGGGTTGTATAAAGTGACTGATTTCTAAAGAAAATAACCAGAAGCCATACCTCCACATGAATTCTCAGCCTTTCAAAGTTATTACGTTGAGAATAGAAATACTTATGCCAATAGGTAACGTTTTTGCCTTTTGGTTAAAGTTGAAGTGTGACAATAAAGCAAGGAAACTTCTCATCTTGTGTGGCTTATAAAATAGGTTCTGAAGGCCACAGTGAAGAAAATATTCAAAATTATTTTAATGGGGATTCTTAAATTATATATGCCAGAGATATTAAGTGATGGAAGGAAACTTCACGTGACACTTTTAAAAAAAAACAAATGAAGAAAACTAGGCCCACAGAGGTTTGAAAACTCACCCAATGTCTCGCACGTCTGAGATGGCAGACTCGGGCTAGAACCCAGAGGAGAACTCTAAGCTGCCTGTCACCAGGGAAAGTGCTCTCGGCCTGACTTTGGCATACATTAGGGCACAGCTTCTGTTTTATGAAGCTTTCAAAGAAGATGCTGTATCCTCCACTTTTCCTCATACACCCACTTCCCTTAAAAAGCTGAAAAAAGAATCAATATTGTACTCTTACCCCAACAGTGGTTAGAGAATTCGTAAACTTCTTTGATAAGGAAGCCACTTCGTTGCACATTGCAGTAGTTAATCTGAAATAGACAAAAAGAGGTTTGGGGGGTTCTCAATAAAGCAAAATAATTTAACTGTCAGGACAATTAATGATACAGTATTACATTTAAAAGAACAGCACACAAGTTTGAAGATGCTGTATTGAAATGTGCAATCAGACAGTTTTCCTAATCTCCTGTGATTCGCAATCATAGTTTTAATCTAATCCTGATTTTCTCTCCATGCTTTTTTTAAAAAAAATTAATTGACACATTGCAATTATATATACTTATGGGGTACAATCTTATTGTCCATGCTTAATTAAAGAATAACCAACTATCTCACTTGACCTCTTTTTAGAATCCAAACCATGTGCAGGAAAATACCAGGCTTGAGTGCCACATATATGGGGGTATAAACTCTTGCCAGGTGACCTTTTTCCAGATTTTGGTCATTTTATTTAATAATAATAAACACTCACTGAACACTATGTTAAGTACTTTTGTACACATAATCATATTTAATCCTCATAGTAGCTTATGGATTATATAACTATTCCCATTTTATATAGATGAAGGAAATGGCATTTAAGAAGGTTAAGTAAACTGGTTAGGACATGCAGTAGTAAGTGAGAGAGGTGGGATTCAAACTTAGCTGCCTCTGGATAGTTTGTTTATGTGTTTCAATGCTTCAAAATAAAGATCCTACAGAATATGTTCTTGAGACTTATATCAAAATTCCAAGTTTATTCTAGTCCATTCTAGTACTTTATGCCAAGAAAATAATGCAAGACAGACACAAATATTTAACCAAAGCAATGTCTAGACTAATGTTATGGATGACAAAAACTGAAAACAATCTAATTACCTTACAATGTGTGTATTGTCTAATTTTTTTTCCTAACAGTGTATATGACTTTTATGGACAAGGATTAAAATGCTATTGGAAAAACAAGAATCCCAAGTTAAGAATATTATATGTTAAAAGACTTAGTGAAGTCACTAAAGTTTTGTTTTGATAAATAGGGGCCCTATCTAACCTATGCACTCAGATTTGATGAGCTATATCCATCTATCCATCCATCCATCCATCCAAAACTTGTCTGCAGAAATGGTCAAGAGTAAGGTCAAGAGATAGCCGAAAGCCATTCTATCTACAGGCAAATCAGGGACTTGGTGGGGCTTAGGAAGGTTGGGGCGATCCGGGCTGAGAGTCAGAAAGGAACTAAGAGTGAGGTCCTGCCGTCCACACTCAAGGACTTCTGAACCTCGCATTCTCCTCTTTCAAATTAGTACTGCAAAAATCAAATAGTACCTAGATATTGTCCTCAATGTCTTAAAGTTTTCCTATTTTGTCCTTTCCCCTTCTTTCTTAATGTTGAGGTAAGTACATATTCTTTCTAGGAATATTAAGGGAAGGGGGGTTATGTGGTTCTTATAATATCTTTGATTTTTACATGTTTAGATATGAAAATCTAGACTAGATGTGAAATCTTTACAAGTGAGGAAAAATGTCACCAGTATAAAGACACTAATATTGCCTTTTTGGAAGGTCCTTCAACTAAAAAGTTACTCCCTAACCTAGGATGTCAATTGCCATAATAAACAAAGAGTAATTAGCTGGCAAAGTAAATGAGAGTGCTGAGATATGTGTGTATGTGTGTGTCCCCCTACCAGTATATTTTCAGGGGGCTCCTATTTTGGCTCCTGTGTGTCTTAATGATAATGAGAGGGAGTTTGGACCTGTGCTAATTTTCTATATATAATATACAGTTATGTGCATAAAAGTTAATGACTTATTTTCCAGCTCCAATTATTTTCATAAACACTCTATATCGACTATTTTCATGTATATCTATCTAGTTATATAGCTATATATAGCTCATGTTGCACATTTTTATCTCACTAGATAAACTGATAATAGGTAATATTAATAGATAATAACCAGATAAACTAATAGCTACTATTTATTGAAGAACATAATACCATGACAACACATACACACATGTGAACTCCACAGTCGACTAACTGGCTTACACATTAGTAACCATCATCAGCAGAGTTCAGAACATGCAGAGGTAGTATAAGTCCCTACAAATAGTGGAGTGTGTTTGCACATTTTTGTGAAGCTAGTTGAGAAGTTACATTAGCGTGCCCTTGCTCTATTCGTGTGGTATGTTGAAAGTGTAATTACCCTCAAATTTCTGTACTTCTGAGACTTTGATCTATTAAAATAAACACCATCATAGTTCTGAATGATTTAGTGTATCTTCCCTTAAATATATCTAAATAATTCCTAAAATGTCTAGTTAATCCTTCTTCTTGCTAACATAATGTATTTCTTAAGGGAGTCCTTATTTTTTAAGATAACCATAGAACAATGAAATTAGTTGACTTGAAATCTGAATCTTTAGTGGCATAGGGTATATATGTGAGTGTGTGTATTCAAATTACACAAATACATAAAATTACAAAAATAAGAATGAAGAGTAACATTTATCAGAAACAAATTAGCATTATTTACTTTATCAGAACTTTTGCTTGGTCCTGAGCTGGTTTTTCCTCTTCTTGTCCATGAAGAATTAATTCTGCTACTTTATGAAGCTGCTCGATACAGCGTGCTGTTACTTCTGCCAGACTTTCAATGGACAACAGGTATACCTCCTGAAATGAATGAATACCAATAAGAAAATTACTCAGTGAGCACATGCTTTTTTAAAACCCTGTGACATTAAAAAATGGTATAACTCAAAAAAAAAAATCCAAATATAACATGAAAAGGTTGACCCAAAGGTCATGGATATGTCTAAGACTTTTCTACGTGGAATGCTGCAGTAAAATGGAAGTGCCACCAAGTCCCCAGGGATGTGGCAGGCCTATTTCCAGCAGTGTTTCCAGTACTTAGAGCAAAGCTGGGCACACTACAGGCAGGTGCTCAAGAAGGCCTGTGGAAAGATGGCTGAATGAACAGAATCTCAATGGGCATTTTTCCTTAGCATGATCTAATCAAAAAGTTACTTTCCTTGAAATTAAAATTCAATGTAAGATGAAGTTATTGCAAACTCCTTTTTTGAACATAGGCAGAATATAATTTGTGCACGCATAAATTTATTAAACTACAGCATAAAAGCTGTGGCAATAAATTTTTTTAAAAAAGTTTCAATTACCTCATTAGTTATGGGGCATGAAAACATTTTATAGTGACACATTTGCATAAAGATGGAATTTTACCCTAAAGATAAATCAACTATGTTCTTAAAGATTTTTTTTCCTTTAAATTATAATTATGAAGCTACGGAGAAAAGCTACAAAATCTATGCTAAGTCATGACTTGTCTTGGCATAGAGAAATTTTAGTGTTCATTACATTTCTACTCATATTTCTATAATGTGGAACAGGGTACAAATGGGAAAAAAGTGGCCTTTCCTCACTTAAAATTAGGCTGCAAATAAAATTACTATAATATTACTTTGTGGATAATCTAGAATAAATTCACCTCTATGGTCTTAGATCTCCTTTCTTCCTTGTTTTCTTCTTGAGGGTCTTCAGGTTTATTTTCCTTTTCTTCCTTCTCAATTTCCTCCTCTGATTCTTTTGCCACATCTACTGACACCATACTTTGATCCTCTTCCACCCAGTCATGAGCTTTTTTCATGGCCTGCAAAGGGCCCCAACCAAGTGAAACATTTACTGTGCAAATATGGAAACTAAGTAATTCTAATCCCAAGGCTAGAATCAAGTTGCTCTAAACCTTCAAGGATGGATCTCTGTGTTTAAAGAGTGATAGGAGAATTCCTTAACCCCCCCTAAAACAAACTTGTTGTTGCTTTCTGGTAAATATAAAGTAGGAATAGGGGACAGAATAGAAAGGAAGTAAGGGGAGAACATCGCAGGGCCTAGGGACTTTTAAAAAAGCATTTAAAAATGATATTAGAGTAAGAATAAAAATGACAGTCATGTTGAAAGATCTATAGCATATTTTTCACTTTTCATGACAAGCTGTAAAAGAATAATAGTACTTTTTTTATATATAGGTTAGAAATTTATCCCGGGCCATGGCTAAAGCAAATTTCCTCATCCCTTATGTCTCATGAAGCTCTTAATGTTTCATGAACCTGATAACGTATCATGTGGGGAAGATGAAGGATGGTGTTGCTCTTCTTGATTCATGACAGATCTTCCAACCTCAAGGGGGAGAAGAGCTGTTGGAAAGACCTGGTGCTGCTCTGTGACTAGTTTAATATCACATGGGTGCAGCTTAAGCAACCCGTGGCCTTAAAAATCATGGCTACGTTAAACAAGCAGGAACCACCTCTCCTATCCATTTTTCCCTGAATTTAGAAAAGACAGACTCACCCAGATTTTTTAGTTTAAGCTGTTTACTTAAGTAAAAATCATTTCTGAGCTTATGCTAAAATGACTTCTCACTTTAAAGCTTATACATCAAAGCTTAATATGTCAGAGTGTAGAATAGCAAGTTAACAGCAAGATGTGGGGAGAGAAAACACAACAAAACCGTCCTTGGTGCATCCTCTTTTAGGGACAAAGGTTTACTCTGACTATGTAAATACACCAGTGGAATTTTGCAGCCACCACACATGCCCCCTCCGAGCAGTGGCAGGTGCTGCAGGCAGATGAATGAGGCAATTTCCCACTGTGTTCAAGTCACTGACCTGCCGCAATCGGTGACCCCTATCGAAGATACAGAAATTACTCATCTCACCACCTCACTGTCTCATTCTGCCCTTTCCTCACCCACCTTGATAACCGAGTGCCCATGGAAGCCTCTGCTCGCTAAAAAGAAGAAAGGACAGAAGAGAGAGGGAGGATGGAAAAACATCTCCCAGTTTTAAGTAATTAATGATCAGTGTCTCAGTGTCTTCTTAAGAAACTTCACAGCAAGACCTTGTGCTAACTTGTAAAACATACTGCAGTTCTGGTAGGGGAGCACAGAATGCTAAATCTGGAACGTTCTTAGACATGATGCAGCGCCAGCGTTCCAGGTGGGCGAGGACGTACCTGGCTGATGTGCCTCACTGCCTAATTCTTCACGTCTCTTTAAAAGGGGTGGGGGGATGGGCCGGCCCGGTGGCGGTGGCGCACTCGGTAGAGTGCAGCACTTGGGAGTGCGGCGGCGCTCCCGCCGAGGGTTCGGATCCCATATAGAGACTGGTCCGCTCACTGGTTGAGCGCGGTGCGGGCGTGACACCGAGGGTTGCGATCCCATTACCGATCATGAAAAAAAAGACAAAAAGGAAGAAAATAAAAGGGGTGGGGGGTGGAATTTGAAAAAGCCTCAGTGATTCTGCACCCTTTTCCTTCCCTTATCCTGAAGATAACCACTGCTCTGATACAACATTCTATTTGGCCACAGGAGGTCAAATGACTTATTCAAGGTCACAATGCAATTACCAGTGAAACTGCAACTAAAATGCAGGTCTCATGACACAGTCTAGCATGTTCTCTACCACGATGTATCATGTTGCCTCCTCAAATCTTAAATACTGACCTCAAACTCCCTTCCTCCCACTGTTTCATATGGGGTTTGGGCTTTTTCTACTTCAGGAGGATCTCTGGAATTTTACAACTGAGACCCTTTAAAACACACACACACACACACACACACACACACTCAGAATCAGATGGTGCTGACCTTATTGAGTTTGTCAGGTGTGGCCGCGACATGTAATTCAAAGAGAAGCTCTGTAAGCATGCTAGCAAATTCTTCTCCCTTTTCCTCTAAGCCTAGAAATAGAACATGACAGAAGTAAGAAGCGTGATTTATTTTTTATCCTTCAGAATGTGGCAGCTCCCCCAACTTTCCAGCCTGCAGTCAGGGTAGACTAAGCGGAGGCTGCAGCAGCCTGCCTGCCAGCCACCAGGCAAAGACGAATGTCATGCATTTGTGAGCACAGCAGTGAGGGGGCAGCAGGCTGCCCAGGGAAGGGGCTGCTAAAGCCTTGCTGCAGGCGGCAGCTCCAGCTGGGATACCCCCGGGCTGGCCTGAAGGCAACAGGAGGGCAGGAAGGGTCCTTGTCTGTCTTGTCCACAGCTATAGCTGGTCAACAGCTATTTGCTGAAAGAATGACTGGATGAACAAATGAATGACCTTCCTCAGGCCTGAGAGACCTGGGACAACAGCATACTTATAACAAGAATATTGCTATGCTTAGCATTGCAACCCTAATGATACCCAGGGCACCTGTCTATGTCCACAGAGCCAGTGGTGGGCAGGCAGAATTGGGCTCAATGGCTCTTTGATAGAGTTTAGAAGTGTTGTCCCCCTAAAACTCATGCGGAAACCTGATCCCCAATGTGGCAGAGCTGGAAGCTGTTCGAATGGATTAACACTCCCTTGGGGGGAGGAGGGGTAGTGAGTGAGTTCTCCCTCTGTTAGTTCCTGCGAGAGCTGGTTGTTTAAAAGACGCTGGCACCTCCTCTCTCTCTTGCTTCCTCTCGCCAAGTGATCTGCTTGCACC